TAATTTTTTTTTTGTAACAATATTTAATAAATAATATTACATAATTTTATGAGTAAAATAAATAAGAAGATCATGTATATTTAATACTCACCGCTAATTTGAGAAGACGTTCAGAGGCCTTGGCAACGTCCATGTTCTATAAAATAAAGAAAAATTATCAAATAATTATTATTTAATATTTTGTTATTATATATTTATGATAAACATTACTCAATTATTCACAAAGTATCCTAAATAGTACAAATAAACCTCTCCCATCTAATCAGACATTATTAAATAATAAAATTATAATATAATCATTAAAAACATAATTCTACTTGTTAATCATTAATTTAAAAATAAATTGTTTGTAAAAATTGATTAATATATCAAATTTTAAAGTAAATCAGTATGAATGATTCGAAACTTTTGGTTAGTATTATATAACATAAATATCAAAAGTAAGGGAAAATACATGTATGGTGAAAGAGGAAATGGAAGAATGTGGGGCCTAGCTGTTCGGACGAAGGGATGACGACGGATAGAAAACAAAAGAAAGTTTGAAAAAGAGACGCGTGGGCAAAACACGTCGACGGATGCGAAATGAAACTTTCTAATTGGACTCGGGTGTATAGCTTTACGCTTTACAGGGTATCCTGAAGTTTCTCTCTCTCTCTTTCTTTCTCTTTTTCTCTTTCTTTCTTCCTCTCTCTCTCTTTCACACACACACACTCTTTCTATTTCTTTCTCTCTCTAACTTTGTTGAAAGAACGAAAATAGCCCCGTCGAGTGTTTGCAAAAAGTCGTATAAAATTCGGCCCCTTTTTACAAAAAAAAAAAAAGAACTTCACCGAAAATATGTTTTGTCCCTTTTTTCAACGCGAGAAATAAAAGTTCATGAACCTCGAGAGCGTGAAATAACGCAACCCTTATTGAAGTATTAAAGATTAAAACAATGTGACGAAGCATAGAGGGGATACATTGTTTCGAAAAAATTCTATTTTCCGTTTTTTAATCAGTTTAAATATAGTTTAAATATATAGTTAATCAAAACTACACGTACAAAATGTGTATTCGTTAGAAAATATTACATAGGTGTAGTAATTAATTTGTTTATAATTTTATCATTACAAATATTTGATATTGAATAATGTGATAAAGATATTACACATTGCGAAATGGGAAAATATTTTCCAACAATACGTCGATATTTATTGTTTTTCGTATAAAATTAATAAAGAAAAAATAGAAATGATAAATAAAATTCAAGTGAACAATATCTGTGCTTAATTTTAATGATCAAACCACACACACGATTGTCATTTTATATGAAAATTGTTCATCGAATTACTAGCAATGTAATAATAATAATAAAAACACACACACACACTCGCAGAAGAGAGGGAAGAAAGAGAAAAAACGAAAAAGAAGAGAAGAATAGTAGAAATTACGATAAAATCTGTAAAAAGAGAAACGGTAGCAGAAAATTTGCCTACGCATGTACATCCACGAATATTCGAAAATTCGAACGAATGAATGAACGAACGAATGAACGTAGAAACTAACGTTCATGTTCTCTTCAACATTTATTTCGTGTAATACCTATCAACGATCGAATATCGGTCGTTACATTGCGTTCCTTTTATTATTATCGTCTGATCATTGTTACACCGATCTTCCTCTCGGTTTAACGATACCAAAATGAAATAACTATTGTGCCCACGGGTTTATTTTGTTTTCCAATGAATATCAAAAAAACCATATACACGATGTATACTATGGCATAAAAAAAATAAAAAAAGCATGTGACTTGCCAAACAAAAACCAACCGAAGTAGTAAGCTTCGCTCGTTATGTAAATGTAAAAAATTATAAATGTAAAAACTATATATGAACAAACAGAAAAAGTTAACGTAAAAGAAATGTTTTTAACAAAAATTACAAATTTTTGTTGCTGCTTGCTAAAGTAATTTTTTTGTCGAATAAATGATACAAAGATAAAGGGGGGTGAAAGTGAGAATGGAGAAGGGTGCGAGTAACAAGAATATAAAATAAATTCTAAACGAGTCTCATCTTCTTCCTCAAAAATCCCCACCCCCTACCGTTTTATTCATTTTAATTATACTTTCATTCCTTTCTTTTTTTTTCTTTTTATTTCTCTCTTCTCTTTATTTTATTGTTGTTATAAACTAAAACATAAGACGAGAAAATTAAGAATGATGGTCTACAGTGTAAATATGAAATTCATTTTGATATACATCTCATCATTTAACCCTCCCCCCTTTTTTCTCCTATTTTTATTCCAGTGCATACAATGCACTGAATTTATCTTTCGTTTTTATTTATTTATACTTTTGATTTAATTGAAATTATTTTCTAATTGTTTTGTGTTAGACAAATATAGTTTGTAGGAATTGCAGAAATAATTGTTGAGTTTATTTGACGAGATTTTCTAACACTAGAATTATTATAATATATTAGAATGAACAATAATTTTCGCAGGACTATTTTGTTTGTTTTGTATATAGGGTGTATATATATATATATATGAGAGGGAGGAGGGTGGGGATTCGTACTTTAATATAGATACACACTCGAAAGGCGTCAAAGGGAGCAACCACCGATGATGGAATTGATATTTCGTGCCTTCTACTAATTGAATACAGGGAAGCACAACCCTCTGGTATTCTCCCTTAAGTGCCGGTTGTCGAAGTCCCTTTCAAGTACTGCAACACGACAACCCCTCATCTATTTACACGCACATATATAATATAATATATTATATATATATATATTAAATAAATCTAAATTTATTATATTGATTTTTTAAACACGTATACAATTATATTT